ATATAAGTCTACTGCTATTGCTATTGCTATTGCTATATTCATTAATGCCAAAAGGAGTCACTTACATTAATTGCTGTTTTTAATGTTTTACAGGCATATGTAGTACTATTGAATATGAAGAACAAGTGTTTTATAAGGGTTGTGTTTCAAATGTTACTTTAACCCGCTGTGAAGGCGCGTGTCCATCATCAACAAGGTAAATAAGATAATATTACATATTTTCCAGCAACCGAAAGGCCTACTACTTGATTAGAAGTCATATTAATAAAATACTTCAATTTATATGTCGGTGGCAGATTATTTTTGCTCATCTTTAATGAAAGATCAATACAAGAAAAACTCTAATCCCTATCTATAATTTGACCGTACCTTTCCCAAAGTTCCTGTTGTTTAATAGTTTTGTATACATCTAATCCCCACTTAACAACAGTAATCTTGACTGGAATTTCCATTGCTAAGCAAGGCTGTGGAAAAGCATGACATTGTGAGATCACACTGCTTAGTGATGAGAGTTCTGGCATTTCGGGTGGCCATCCATACATGAATCACACAATGTTGTTAAGTGCAAGGTCACAGGATCACCATTTATAGCCACCTGCTCACTGACTTTGCTTGTTGGAAGCCATCAGTGAAGGTTGCAAATGGTGATCACATCACTGCAAGACACTGCAATGGCATAACTGCAAGCCAAGTGTTATCTCCTGGATCATGATTACACTCTTAAGTAGAAGAACTAGTCCTTTGGGAGAAGGGCGGCATATAAATCCAATAAACAAACAAACAAACAAACAAACACAAACACTACTCATTGATTGCATCATAAGTCCAGTCACTGAATGACTGTTTATTAAATGGGGATCACCTATAGGGCAACGGTCCCCAACCTTTGCAGCTTAGTGGCCCAACTGGGAGGGGGAGGGAAACTGGGTGGCATGAGTGGCGGGTCAGTGTGCCTGCACTTGCGCATGCAGCTCAACTTGCAGAACCCACTCATACAGCCCAGTTCCAAGTAGACCATGGGCTGGTAGTGGACCTTGGCCCAGGGGTTGGGGACCCCTGGTATAGCATAATTTGGTATAGTATTGTTTAGCTACATTTAAAAAGTTGACTGGATCACTGAAAGGAAATAGTATGAATGTAGTGTAAGCATGTGTGATATTCCACATAGTACTCAGAAAAATGTAAAAGTATGTTTCCCTTTCATAACAATTGATTAAAACTTTTAGAAGCATTTTTAGACATTTTTCAAAGGGCTACCATCTCTCACATAGGAACACACACACACAGACCATATTTTACATAAAAATATGGAGATAATTCTCACTGACATGATGTATTTCCTAAGTTTAGGATATCTTTATGTACAGAAAGTGGTACAATATATCAAACTATTTGCCTGTTGAGCTACTTGGAGCTGTGGTGGAGCAGTAGTTAGAATGCAGTGTTGCAGGCTTGTAGTTTGCAGTGTTCTGTAAACTACTGAGAGAGGGCTGTAAAGCACTATGAACAATATATGTCTAAATGCAATTAGTCAATAGTATTAGTGTTAATTAGTAACCATTTCTTAAATTTACAATACTCAAGGAAACAATTTCTGTATTTTTAAACTAACTTGGTAAACACATGCATACCTCATCAATAAGTTTTCTTATTCACAGGCAGAAGAATGCAAGGATAGAAAAACTATGCAAGTGTTGCACGCCAACAACTTCCTACAAGAAGGAAATAGAGATGCCATGCCCCAATCCAGATAACCCGAATGAACGACTTTCTATATATATCCTTATATTTGGTGAATGTGTATGCAATGTAGAGGAATGTGTGCACTAGCCAAATTCACCAGTATCAACCTTGAAGCAATATTTAAAATAAACCATCAGTTGCTATTTACATTGTACCTAAAGTCTCAAGTTGAGTCCCTTTGTTTACATTAATTTGTCCAAACACTGAAAAGGAAGCTACTCTTTTAAGAGCAGTGCTGATAACAAATTATGTTAATTTATTCATTATTTGGGAGATAGGAAAATGAAATGAATTTTTGCCTTATTTATAAGGCTTTCATCAAATTAATGTCTACCTGTGTAGAATAATTGACTGTTTTAATAAAGATATTAGCTGTTTTTTTAGTTCCAATGGTGAATAACTAAAAGATATTATATCTTCCTAATCCTATAATCTAATGAAAAATTCATTCTTCAAATGCCCATTTTTGTGTTGTCAAAATGGAACCTTTCGTGATGCAGAGCATCATATCGACAGAGAAGACTTACAGAAGTAATGAACCTTTGTAATTGAAGAAACACCTTCCTTCTCTTCTTTCAAGGTTAATCAAGATCTGTATTATGTTATATCAAGATAATTTGTAAAATAAAAAAATATGCATCTTTGCCACTGGATGAGGCTGGAATTAATGACAGGTAAAAGCAGAGAATAAAGACAGCGTATTTTTCTTACTTCTCCCTACCTGGTAAGCTACTGAAGAGGGCCATTTGGGTAGATTAAATATATGGTAAAACTTGAGATAGAAATTTTGGTCTGTATTCCTCTAAAACACGGGATCAAACTCACCACATCGCTTGACATTTCGTGATGTTTTTCCCATTTGTGGAGCATGACGCATCCAGTCTGCAGACCGCCAGTTTGACACCCTTGCTCTAAAAAATGAATTCCAAGTCAGGATCAATTTCCAAGAAGAATTAACAGGTAGTCCTTAGTTAGCAATCATTTGCAATTAAGACAGTGATGAAAGCAAAGATAGTATCAATTGTAATAGCAACTTGAGTGCAATCCCAAAATGTCTCAAGAAGCACCATTGGCATTGAAAAAATCACCATCAGTCAATTGCAAAAGGCAGCTTTACTTACAACAGTTTACATCTTGCGATGATACTTTTAACACCATCAAATACCAACTGCGTTTGCCAAATTCTTGGGAAGGACTCAATAGTTAGATAAAAATGTCAAATCCAGTCTAAACATCTGACTGTGTGATCAACCATAACAATAATGATATACACCACACTGATCTATTACAACATCCTAAGTTCTTGGGGAAAACTCAGTGGCTATGAAGACCAACTCCAGCTAAACAACAGGCAGCTGTGATTTCGCAATGGTGTGAAAAGAGATTTCTTTTTTAAAAAAAGACACATTGAAAGTTCTTAAAACTGAGAATGAGGAAACATAATTTTAGTCTTCTAGCCATTTATTTTTTTCTGCTAAAGGTAACATGATTAGAGTTATGTATTTTCAGATTCATACACTTATAATGAAAGTTGACCATATAAGCTGAAAATTCACTTTTCATATACTGAAATGGTTATACATAGATACCGGAGTGTAGACCTAAGTTTACAGCATTTCATCTTCCAGTTGAGGAATCTTTCACAAGTCAATAACAAATACTGCACTTGGATTACTAATACTGTTTTAGCCACAAGAAGTATTATTTCTGGTTGATAAAGAGGATATATAACTTTGGTAATCAAGTAACTTATCCCAATAGAGAAATTGTATATACCTGTACTTCAATTCTCTGTTCCCCATTAGGGAAACAAAAACCACATGAATAGCTGATTTGGAATTTTCATCTTTTTATGGATAAATCACATTTGCTCACAACTGCACAGGGAAGACCACCAGTGCTTTGCATGGTATTATTAAATAAATGCAATCACAGTGCCTTCAAAACTGCCCTTTTAAAAGTTAAATGGCAGATCTTCTCAATATGTTATATGACAAGCTTCTAATTATCCCTTGTTTTAATGGCTTCCAGTTCCATGTGAAAAATGAGGACACATTAACCTGTTCATTGTGATCATTACTCTTTGAATTTCTCCAGTAAGAGAAGAATATTGGAAGTTATCCTAGTTTTATTACATAGTCAAATTAATGCCATTTCATTTATTAAAATGTGCTAATTCAGTGGAACCCAACCAATCTACCTTAAGAAGTTTGCAAAAAACTAGCAATTCAGTACTCAAATTAGAGGAATCTGGATAATAGTTTTGTCTGGTTTAGACATGCAATTTTATCTTTAAAAAAGAAGCTGATTAAACTCCCAAGGACATTTATTGCAATATAGATACCATTGCTTATTTTTTCTTGCTTTATTGAGTGACTGTGCATTTTAGAATCATTTCAGGGAAGTGTGATTGAAACTTATTTCTACTTGTTGAAAAGGATGCCAGGTTGACTTTCTATAATATATTACAAATGCATATCTCACGCAAAGTAGACCATATCATTGCTAGACTTTTTGAAAATAGTGCACCCAACTTTGTGATGTCAAAAAAGCAATTATCAGACCATTATACTTTCAAAAGCTAACGATTTACTTAGGACCTCAATATACTAGACCTCTGTATCTGTGTGACCCACCCATATGCTAACAAAAATATTACATCAAAATTGCCTATCAGTAATAACAGCCAGGGCTAGAGAATATAGAAACATAGATTCTCTGGGAAATTTTTAGTGTAGCTCCATGTGATTTTTTTTTAAACTTTACAATCCAAGTGAACAATGGATTAACTAGAGTTCTCTAGAAATAGTGAATCTAATAATTCTGATTCTTTATTCCAGCGTTTGATGAGAATTTTACTCTTTGGTAATTCATCATTTTGAGGAAATGAAAGGGTGAATTAAAGCTGTTTAAAACAAATTGCTTGAGGTAGGGGGAAATAATATCCTAATGCCTCTGTGTACTGTACTCAAGGTCAATGCCCATAGCCTATTTTGAAAAAGCCAACACCTGTGAGATTCATTACAACATTTCCTGACTTCCCATCACATCACATGGATGCATTTTGGACATTCTCGAAAGTAGATCTGCCTAAGATTGACAAAGAGTACAGCAGCAAGATGGCTACTGCACAGTCTCATCAAACAGAACTTTACTGATTACTGCTGGGGTAATGCAGGGGTAGGAGAAGTGACCACGACGTTACTAGCAATTTACATTGGAATTTCCAGGGGGAAAATTCAAACACCTTTCATTTAGATCATTGTTGATCAAAGTAAGTCATCATAAAACCAACTCCTGACAAAATGCCTGAAATAGTTGAGGTGACAAACACAATGCCTCCTGGCCTCCTTGTGCCAGAAATATTTTTCACATTTAGGTAACTTTACATTACACACATCTTTTATTCACATAAGAGGGACAGGTCCTTTAAGGCAGGAATGTGAATGTGATGGCAGTTATTTATGCAGACACTGGTGCACAGGACATTCCTGGAGCAGGACAAGAAAAACAGGCAGAAATAAAGAATCAAAGCTGGTCTTGAGTTAAGATTCAGAACTGTTCTGACAACAATTCGCATAATCTTCGTGAGACTGTTTCTTTACTTGTTCGTAGTGTTAGTCGGTACATCTGAAAAAATAATGAAAAATAAGTTTTATGAAGAACGGCTTTACAATCGCCCAAATTCCTACCCTGCTTGTAAGTATTTTCTGTAACAATTTTAGATGTTTTAGAATCATAACGTGGTTTGATGTTTTAAGTTTTTTTTTTTAAAAAGAATTGCAGTGGAGGCAAATCTAATCTGAACTTCTGAAGAACATTTTTAGCTTAGGGCAGGGGTTCCAAACTTTTTGCAAGGCGGGCCAGATTTGGTGAGGTGAAAATGTGTGGGGCCAACCATTCAGCCTGACATTCTTTGAACCATTAACATTAATGTGCGGTGAAGGAAAAAACGCCGGCTGGCGGGGATAAGTGACAAGCTGAGCTGGCGAGGAGAAGAGGCTGTGGGCTGCTCAAAATTTGAAAATGGGTTGCAATTGGCCCCCGGGCCGGACTTTGGACATGCCTGGCTTAAGGGGAAAAGAGGCTATTTTTTAAATCGAAGAGTTCAATAGTAATCAGTGGGATTACCTGTATTTAGAATTAAAGAAAATGAACTGAGCTGCAGAGTTAAGCATTATTGTGAAGCTTTATCTTTACTTACATTCTTAGAACCTTTAGGTATTCTTAGAAAATAGAAGTTACTGGCAGTTGTATGTCCAGAAAAAATAGAAATGGGTAGTATAGACCACTGGGACATGGGCATCACAACCACTTTTTGAAAGTACAGTACCTATAAATTGTTTTCAAAATTCCAAATATGCTCACTGACTTAAAGATGTTGCATAACTCTGCTTTAGCAGAGAATCCCATAAGTCTTCTTCCTCACTCAGCAATCTTTTCCTTATAAGTGTTTTCTGCTCCTCTTCTGCTCCCACCCCCCAAAAATCTGGTTGTTATTCAAAACATCTTACATCCTCCAAACTTAATATATCACAAGTGATAGTGCTACATGTTGTACAATTATGTATCACAATATTTACAAGTCCATACATTTTGGCCAAAAAATAAGGCTTATTCCTTGGTGCACACAAGAGATATGGAATGGAAAGCAACTTCAGTTAATCTGTCACAAAATTTAAAAAGTAATTAATCAATCCGATAAAAAAAATACAAGTTCAAGAGGTGTGAGTTTCACCTGGAGAATTTACAGCATAAAAAGACAAATCAAAACCTGTTTAGAATGGTACTCCATCCCAATGCAATTGCTCTTCCTGATTAATGAATGGCACTCTGAATATAATTTTGCAGAAACTCAATTGTCTGTACAAGTTGTACAATGAATACAAGGCAAAGCTAGTATTGGGAGAGCTATAAAATGTATGTATGCATTGTCTTAGTCGATACCACTCAGCTAGCACGTATATTGTTAGAGCACAATCTTCAATGAAGCATTATGTCTGCATTTGGTGAACGAAAGGATCTCTAATGCAATAAAAAATACTAGAATTTCTATTTTACTTTAGAAAAAAAGATTTCTGTAAAAATACACATGGGGAAAATTAAGTGTCTTTCATATGATACATGCTCTTGGTTTGACAATAAAATAAGCAAGGATTACCTCTGCCTGAAGGTTGGGTTCAAGACGCATCAAACAACCAATTTGTATTGATTTTGTGTGTATTATGCCAGCACCTACAAAGTTAGCAGGGTTAGGATCCACTTCTTCCAGTAGAGCTGTGCCAAAGCCAATGATCTGTAAAAGATGATTTAATTTTACATAATACATCTCCTTAAAAGACAAATTAGTTTTATTTAATTGAATTGAAAGCCATTGGACAACATACAGATGGAGAAAGGAAGGAGGAGGATATATAAAGTGTATATGATAGATTGAGCAGAATGCTAAACATACACTTGATTTAAGACTCAGGTAGCTTCCATATTAGAGAGAATGCAAAAGTTTGAACTAAAGAAAGAAAGGTGATGTTATAACAAAATCAAATATCCGAACAACTTTTCCAGATAAAATAAATTAACAAATCAACCATAAAACTTTTAGACATAAATAATGTTGACTTGAGCACTAAAAATAATTGATAGTG